AAAAATTCTGAACAAAATTCTAGCCAATAGAATTCAGCATCATATCAAAAAAATAATACACCACGACCAAGTAGGATTCATACCAGGTATGCAAGGATGCTTCAACATTAGAAAATCAATCAACATAATCCACCACATAAATAAAAGGAAAGAATCACATGATCACCTCAACTGACAAAGAAAAGGCATTCAACAAAGTCCAACACCCATTCCTGATAAGAACTCTCAATAAATAGGTATAGAAGGGAAATTTCTCAACATAAGAAAGGGCATCCATGCAAAACCAATGGCCAACAACATTCTTAATGGAGAGAGGCTGAAAACATTCCCCTTGGAAACAGGAACAAGACAAGGATGCCCTTTATCACCACTCCTATTTAACATTGTACTGGAAGTCCTAGCTAGAGCAGTAAGGCAAGAAAAAGAAATAAAGGGCATACAAATTGATAATGAAGAAGTTAAACTGTCCCTGTTTGTGGATGATACGATACTATACATAGAAAACTCTAAAGACTCCACGAGAAAACTACTGGAACTAATAGAAAGATTCAGCAGAGTAGCAGGATACAAGATAAACATACAAAAATCAGTTGGATTCCCATACACCAATAAAGAGAACGAAGAAAAGGAAATCAGGAAAACAATACCATTTATAATAGCCCCTAAAAAATAAAATACGTAGGACTAAATCTAACCAAGGATATAAAAGACCTATACAAAAAAAACAACAAAACACTACTGCAAGAAACCAAAAGGGATCTACATAACTGGAAAAACATACCATGCTCATGGATAGGTAGACTCAACGTTGTGAAAATGACAATTCTACCCAAAGCAATTTACAAATACAATGCAATCCCAATTCAAATAGCAACAACATTCTTTCAAGAGATGGAAAAACTAATCATTAACTTTATATGGAAAGGGAAGAAGCCCTGGATAAGTAGAGCACTACTGAAGAAGAAGAATAAAGTAGGAGGACTTGCACTACCTGACCTCAGAACCTACTATACAGCTATGGTAGTCAAAACAGCCTGGTATTGGTAAAAACAACAGACGCATTGACCAATGGAACAGAATTGAGAACCCAGATGTAAATCCATCCACCTACGGTCACCTGAGCTTCAACAAGGGCCCCAAGTCCATCAAATGGGGAACAGACAGTCTTTTCAACAAATGATGCTGACAAAACTGGATGTCCATCTGCAAAAAAATGACACAGAACTCATACCTCATACCACATACAAAAATGAATTCAAAATGGATCAAAGACCTAAATGTAAAGCCAAAACCTATAAAGTACATAGAAGAAAAAATAGGATCAAGGTTAGAGGCCCTAATACATGGCATTAACAGTATACAAACCATATCCAACAATGCACAAACTCCAGAAGATAAGCTAGATAACTGGGACCTTCTAAAAATTAAACACCCATGCTCATCAAAAGACTTCACTGAAAGAGTAAAAAGGGAACCTACAGACTGGGAAAAAAATTTTGGACATTACAAGCCAGACAAATGTCTAATCTCTAAAATCTACAAGAAAATCCAACAACTCTACAACAAAAAGACAGATAATCCAATTAAAACATGGGCAAAGGAAATGAACAGACACTTCACCAAAGAAGACATTCAAATGGCCAACAGACACATGAGGAAATGCTCGCGATTACTCGCCATTAGAGAAATGCAAATTAAAACCACAATAAAATACCATCTCACCCCAGCATTACTGACACGAATCAAAAAACTGGAAATAACAAAGGTTGGCAGTGCTGTGGGGAGATCGGAACTCTTATACACTGCTAGTGGGAATGCAAAATGATACAACCATTTTGGAAAATGATATGTGCTTCCTTAGAAAGCTAGAAATAGAAATACCATACAATCCAGCAATCCCACTTCTAGAAATATATCCTAGAGAAATAAGAGCCATCACACAAATAGACATATGTACACCCATGTTCATTGCAGCATTCTTCAGAAGAGCAAAAAGATGGAAACAACCTAGATGCCCATCAACAGATGAATGGATAAACAAACTATGGTACATACACACAATGGGGTATTATGCAATGGTAAAGAACAGTGAGGAATCTGTGAAGCATCTCATAACATGGAT